GCAGTATGCCCAAAGGCCAGATAAAATAAAAGAGTAAAGTAAGAAGAGAAAATTCAGAGCAGGTGAATAAATGGCATTGCTCATGTAAGAGAAAAGTGGATATATGTAAGTAGTTGGAGGAAACCTGACCAAAGCTCATTAATGCTCAGGAACTTCAATATTATGTCACTCCCAATAGCATTGGGAACTGGCCGCCATAGGTGATAGCACAACATTTTCGCTTTCAGAAAGAAAATATAATTCTTCATTGTTTTAGTAAAGTAACTGGTCCGTAATGTCACATCCTTTAACAGCTATGTCAACTCTAATGAGTATAGGAACATTTGTAAACAGAGAATCTATATTTTAACTACAGCAGACTTTAGGTTTTGGATCTTTGTAATACAGTAAATTAGATAGAAAGCCTTATTATTAGTAAGAACAATAAAGCTTTATGCTTGGCTCAGCTCCATTTCAGTTTCTCCATCTGTACGCAAACATTCAGGTCACAAAGGTAAAGTAGCACTGTAAAAAGGCCTCAGAAAACACCTACCTATCTGTCATATTCTGATTTTTCATTTTCTTTCTCCTATACCTCAGCAAGCCTCTGGCAGGAGAATGTGTTTTACATAAAAATCCATGCTTTCCAATATTTTTTTCACCTTAAAGTGCCAATTAATTCAAACCAAGCCTTTGTTTCAAAAAACTTTGAATGTTTGGGTTGAAGAGGTTTATCAGTTGTTTCAGGATGAAGAGGTTTATCAGTTGCTATAAATAGGAGGATCAACATAGAGGATTATCTGACAGAGCAGACATGTGTCTGGATGTCCACCATTTTGAGGAAGTATTCAAACAATAAATTATTACCTTTCATAGGTTGAATGTCTGCTTTTCTAAGGCCAGGTTTACTCCCTTGGAGTGAAGTACGGAGCTCCTCTGAATGATCCTTATTTTATCATTTTTAGATGAAGGATTCGATAAAGAGAGAAATATTGCATTCCCTGTGGGATCTTCAATTTGAGATGTTTAATGAGCTACACTGAAATAAAAAACTTCCCAAAACAGGGAGAGGAAGGGGTCCTTGCCAATGTTTTACTGGAAAGACTAATGATGCGGGATTATTGACCTCTTTTGACCTTTTGACCTTAGTTAACTACATCTTTTAAAAATACAATTTGCTCTATGTATTCTTTTCATGCAAATGAAAGTCATTTTTTAACCCTGTGGTATTTACTCAGCATTTATCAGTAGACAGAAAATAAAAGTTTTAGAAAAGGATGGTGTCATTATGAAGTCTATCTTCATTATAAAAGATGTTTATTGTTAGTCCTTTTTTCGGTTAGCATTATGAATAAATATATACATATATTCTTACTTTCACCTAAAGAATTACGTATTAAATTCAGTGGGAATTTTCATTACAGTATATGAGTATTTTGCAGATATTTTTGTTATTCATTTAAATGAAAATGGTATATACATAAGCATAAGATCTGGAAATTTAGAGACACAGTATTTTCTTTCATTTGATGTCCCAGCTTCTTGCTTATGACATAGGCTTTAATGACAGAGCACAAACTTCATGCCAGAATGAAAGTCTGAAAGCACCTTCGTAATGATCATAATTCAAGTCTGGTATTTACCTGTTCACTTAAATACTCATATTCTACCCGAGACAAAATTAGCACTTCCATGTACTTTTAAACCTCAGAATTAATCTGGAAATATGTAGCAAGATCTCTGTAAAACATTTTCCCTTTTTTTTTGTTGGAAGTATGTCACAAAGAATATTTCTCTGCATACATTTCTATACACAAACACTGAGATTATCAAAAGTAAAGTTCTTCAGGATCTCTTCGCTACCAACAGCCTCTCTTTTTTATAACAATATGTAGAAATAGAAAATGTGCAGGAGTATTTTTAAATTATATTCACATCACACAAACTGGTGCCGATTGTGTCACACAGATTGCATGATAAGATATCAATAACTTCCCCAATTTTGTTTGTAGTATGCTTTCCCATTGTGTTAGTTCATTACACTAAAATTGGAGCTCTTTCTCCTACTACAAATTCTCTCCTCAGAATAAAACTGACACGACTTTTTTTTTTTTCATTTCTTTTACACTACAGCAGAAGACCCTGGAGTTAAAGGACACTTGGTGGCCTTTTCAAAATTCCTTAAAGCTTTACTTCTGAAGGAACCGTATTTGTCAACGTGATTGGTATAGTGCAGGAAAAGTTTTGTGAAAACCAGAAAGGTTTAGCTTCCTCTTCAAATAGCAGCTTAATTCTCCATAAAAACTCTTGTGAATCCCTCATGCAATAGTAGAGCCTTCAGGCTCGTTTTTATTTGGCCATCTATACTTCGTACAATGCAATTTTCATTGATCTCAGTCAGAAAATTAGTATTTTTCCCCCTACATGTAGGCTAAAAATCTAGAAGAACAAACATAAGGCCATATCTCTAGAATTAAATATTTTATCATTTCTCTTTTTCCTCTTTTCTATTTAACCAGCGTAATTCACAAGGTTAAATCCCAACCCCTTGCTTAGGCCTACTGTCCTAATATCAGAGAACTAAATGAATAACCTGGGAGAAAAAGTATATCATACAAGAACAACTTAGGGGATTGTGATAATGGAAAATACAGCAATGACAGAGTAGCATGCTTCTAGGCTACAGCAGGTGAGGACTTCTTCAAATGCAAGAGCCATAGGCACAGAAGTAAAGGAATGAATCTGCTTCCCTTCAGAAAACCTAAAGTAGGCAGGGATCATCAGCAAGGGGGCCTTGCCTCCACTACCAACACTTAAATGAGGTCTGGGAAGGGCTAGATCCTGGCTGCACTCCTTCCAGTTACTCAGGAACATTGCATGCACCCCTGAACTCCTCTGGGCTGGCACTGCATTCCCACCAGGTGCTCAATCAATGTTTCAGGCCATGACTTAGCATTTCTGCTACAGGGATGCTTCCAGAATTCAAGGTACAATAACTGATAAATGCTGTCTTTTTCCCTATTTTTTTCTTGTTCTGTTTTCCTTTTTTTTTTTTTTTTCTCCTCTTTTTTTTCCTTTTCATTTCTTGGATTACAAAAAACAGCTTACAACAGAAACTGCGAATTTTACTGCTCTGGAAAGCATCTAGATCACCAAGCATTGTTGTTTGGAAGTACCATCATATTTTTAACACTGAGAAATAGTTCTTATGTATTTCTCCTGAAGTAGGTGCAAAAATTCCATAAATATATTATACAATTAATATTAGTTCATGATGGAATGAATTTCAGTGATCATACTTTGGTAATGTTCTGTAAAGGAGATTTGTTACTATACTTTATGACATCCAGACATATTTAATTGATTATATTGTAGTTCCATAGAGAAATTTTACTACACTCAACACAAAATCAAATGTAGTAACAATCTTTTGCAACTAAAATAACTTCCGTAAGCAGTAGCAGTGATACTGCTCAAAGGTATTATCTGCCATTCTGTGAACACCAGTATCATTTTTTGAACACCAGTTTTATAACAGCAAGTTTGATTTCCAGTCTCATTTGTATGGTCTAATTAGTGAATGCAATTTTAGCATTTGACATGCATATCTTCTGCTACACTCTTGATGAGTAACATAGAATCATGGGCTGGAAGGGACCTCTGGAGATCATCAAGTCCCACCTCCTGCTAACACAGTTCCCTACAGTATCCAAGCATCCAAGAGGATCTTGAATATTTCCAGAGAAGGAGATTCCACAACCTCTCTACCAGCTTGTTCCAGTGCTCTGTCACCTTCACAGTAACAAAGTTCTTTCTCTTGCTCTCATGAAAAGGCATTTAACAACACATTTTCAACTAAAAAGTTATTTTTCCTCACTTCTGCAGTTCATTTCCCAAGTGGTGGCAAGCATTCTATTAGCAGTGAGTGACACATGATTGCAGTGATTTTTAAGCAAACTTATAAGACAAGCTTTTGTTTACCAAAATCATAGAGTATGAATGTTTAGAAATACATATTTGCTTCTTTATTTATTTTTTTGGAAGGGATGGCATGTAGTCACATGTATCTGGAAGCTTACTAAGCATATCTAAAGATATGATTAATTCAAAGCATTTACATCAAAGCTCTAATTACTTTTTGCTGTTAAAGATTGTGGAGGTGAGCTTGGCAGATGTAAAGTCTTGCATTCAAAGCCATAGGCAAATATGTTTACCTACAGGCTCGTTCTGTTCACGTTTTCATTAATTGCAAAGAATGTATTGCTTTAGGCTTACTTTATATTATAGATAACAATCAACTTCAGCAAAAATAAGAATTCTTTAAATCACTTATAGAGTTATCTTAGGAAAAAAAAAGCTGAAGAATCTTCTGGTATCCATTCTGCTATGAAAAAAAACTACTGCAGATTTCTTTCTTTTAGAAGAGTAATGTTCTCACTTACTTAGCTGCTCAGCAGTGCTAATGGCAGTGATTCTCCAAGTTGTTCTGAACTGAGCGAAAGGGTTATGGGAAAGAGAAAAACTGAGTGAGGAATAAAGGGATACAAAAAGTATTTTTGCTGACCCATGGCTCTAGAGCACAGTGATTTTGTGTACAACTATGAAACTTCTAATCTTGAATGTCATATGCCTGCAGTGACCCATATTGTTCCCATTAACAGTAGCAGGCTGTCAGTTTCTCTGTTGGCTTCTTGGCTGTCTGTAGGAAAGGACTACGTAAAGAAAGCCATTTTTGTTTATGGAGTTCAGAGGTGAGGAACTAAGGAAATAAGGCAGAAAAGCAGAGAAAATAAAGTGTATGCATTTAGTAGAACATTCAGGATGAAGAATAACCTTCGTTTCCTTCAGGACAGGAAGAACCTAATGCTTTTAGAAGGCATCAAGCTCTCTAGAAACACATGCTTTCTCATTTATCATACCCATTCTCATTCAACAGTTTGAAAATATCCTTACCATGCCAAACCAAACTGTTCTCTTAGGGAAGTTAGAAACCCAGAAGTAAGGAGAAAGACAATACTCACGAAGATCATCTTGAGCAGTATCATTGCATTCGGGGTTCCAGATGGTTTTGGTTTCAACTATGGAGAGTCATGCAGTTTGAAACTGACTTTTCTGAAAAAGATTGTTTAAAAAAAAAAAAAAAAGACTGCAGAGCTTAGGAAGCTCCTAATGCCATATGATGCATAATGCTCATACAGGTAACAGTCCCTCCAGTTGGGATCAGCGTGCAGACACCCTGTAGTGCCTGTAAAACTGGTGAGTAATTAATAATAATGGTATAATTTGCAGGTGAACCATAAGGTATCTGTCAAATGTTCATAGTTGACAAAGTTCCCCTCACTGGATTTTCACAAACATTGGTGACTGATTCATTGTACCTTACACGGTACATTCCATGTAAGGTGGAATGAATCAGTCAATTTAACTATCTTAATTATACCCCTGCAAAATGTAGATGCCCAGCCAAATACTTTCACTCTATCAGGAATGGAAAGTTCAGAAGGAAAGAAAGATCAAATTCTTCAGACTTTCCATAAGCATTAACTTCCTCAAATTCTAGGGCCCTGTTTGCCTGCATTAAAGATTATTCTATTTCACAAGTGAAAAACTCTTAAAGGATAAAAACCTCTGGTTGTGCTTGAAACAAAAAGGAAAATTTTCTCTTCTGTGATGAGTAAAAACCCAGGCCACATAGGACCAAGATCACAGTATCACTGCCTACCGCAGAAAGTTACAACAGGAAAGAAGCAGCAGCTCAGCAGGGTAATGTAAACATATGCTAGGGAATTAAGGGTTGCATTTAAGGAATGAAGTTAATGTTTGGGGTAAGTGATGATTTTTTCTGGAAGTTCTTGGGAGGTCTTAAATGTATTGTGGGAGATCTTTGGTTTCTCAGGATCGCAGAGCTTCTGAATGCCCTCACACATACAGAAAAGCAATGCTATGCCCTATGTTGTTGTATAAAGAAGTAAATTTCTCGTTAGGATCTGCTCTACATTTTCTCAACGTTCGGGTGAAAGCAGTGTTGAAATGCCACTAAGGTCCTGACGGCTGCTTTCTTAGTAGGTGGCTGGATGGAAAAAACACATATCCTGTCTGCCCAAGAGACAGAAGTGGCAACACAAGGACTGCAACTGTCAAAGTTGTGCATTTGCTTCATGCACGTGTAAATACTAATACAGTAATTTGATTATTTTTAAAAGGAGAGGTGGTATCCTGAGAGCTTGGTTTAATGAACAACGATTTCAAAAGAAGAGTTTTTCCTACAGCAGGGAATACATTCTCTGTTTTATGGTTTATGTTTCTAGTTTATGCTTTTTATCCCCCCCCTACCCCCCCTTATTACTACATATTACCTAACTCTTTGCTCCATCTTTTTCCATATCCTATTTACTCACTGCTATTCGAATCCTCCACCTCCTCATCCCTGTTTTTCCTGCTCTTCAGCTCCTGACTTCTATCACTCTTTGTTTGCTATGAATAAGATATGATCATAGTCACACACCTGCTGCTCTCATTTCATGAAAGCATCAGAATATGACTATCCCAGCAACATGAGACTTGCAATAGACAGAGCTTTTTGTCAGATTTTTTTTTTTTTTTAAACACATCACATAACCATGAATATACAGCTGTTAAAATTAAGAAATATACAGGAAATTTAAACAGGTTACCATGCTAAAACAAAAAAAAAAAAAACCAGGTGGAAGATTTACACTTGTCCATGGCTCAGTACAAAGACTCCAAAAAGAGATATTTCCCCTGTGCTTGTCAGCTCTTAAATGGGATCTAGGAGAGGTGGAGCCATGCTCCACCCCTTCTGGTAGCTCCCGGCCCTCCCTATAGGAGAATTGCCTTCACCTGTGCTCCTGGGGCTGACTCATTGCTCACCTCAGGTGGTCAATCAGAGGTTCAGGCCGTGATTCAGCAGTTCCCACACACGCATATTTTTTAATATTTGGTGTTAAGTGAAAAGCATGTTTTTTCTTTCACATTTTTGCTGTTTTAAACAAGAAAGTTTTCAATTTCCTTGAACGTGACCAAACAAATAACCTGTTATTTGGGCACAATTTGATTTTTGTTGTACAACAACAATATTGACTCATCTCCTCATGCCATTAGATCATCTATCATCAGGCCAGAGCAAAAAAATGCTTATTTTGTTTCTCACCTAACGTTGAAATTAGTTTTAAAACTGTAGATGATATGTGTTGAGTATGGGAGAAGATTTATGCATAAAGTATATACATCGAACTATATTTTTTTCTTTTCAGATTACCTAAAAGGCATGTTGTTACTCATTCTGTCTTTACTTCTCTTTTCAGTGTGTTGTTTTTAGATTGCTTCCTCTAGTTAAGTCCTAACAACTGAAAGCTAATACATTCTTTCACTTTTGTTTGTTCAGCATTTTCATGGCTCACACCTTGAACATACCCCATCACCATTCGCTTCAAATTGTTTGCACCTAGAACAGTGCCATCTCTCTATTTATTGCCTTTTTGCAGCCCCTTTTTGTGAGTGTTACTCTGTGTTTGCTTTTGCCATCTGCTTACTGCATGATACATCTCACTAACCTGTTTGTGTTCACAAGGCTTGCAGACAGAGAGCTCTCTTTGTTAGTTTGTTCATAAATTAATACACTATCAAAGAAGAAGGAAAATTTGCCTGAAATGAGTGCTTCATCTCAGTTTCCGTTTTGTGGGGTAGGAATTGTAGAATCATAGAATCACTGAATATTTTGGGTTACAGAGGACCTTTAAGATTATCTAGTTCCAACTGCCCTCCTACAGGCAGGTAAACATCCCTCTAGACCAGGTTACTCAAAGCCTCATCCAGCCTTGCCCTGTGTACCCCCACAGTGGGGGCATCCCCAACTTCACGGTAAAAAAGTTCTTCCTCATATCTAGTCTAAATCTTCCAGTTGAAAGCAATTTTCCCTTGTTTTATTGCTACATGTTCTTATAAAAAGTCCTTCTCCAGCTTTTCTGTAGGTACCCTTCAGGTTCTGGAAGGCCTCAGAACTAAACACAGTACTTTAGGTGAAGTCTCACAAGAGCAGAGAGGCAGCACTTGATATACAATTCTCTTTATGCAAGACAGGAAGTGATTGACCTTCTGGGCTGCGAGCATACACTGCCAGCTCATGCTGAGTCTTTCATCAACTGACATCCACAAATCCTTCTCCTCAGGACTGCTCTCAAGCCATTCTCTGCCCATCCTGTATTTGTTCTTGAGATTTCCCTTATCCGTTTGCAGGACCTTGTACTTGGCCTTGTTGAACTTCACGAGGTTGGCATGGGCCCTCCTCCCAAGTTTGTTCATGTCCCTTTAGGTAGCATCCCTTCCCTATAGCATGTCAACTGCGCAACTCAGCTGTAAACTTGCTGAGGGTGCACTTGATCCCACCAACCCAGTCACCTATGAAGATTTTAAATAGCACCAGTCCAGTACCAGTCACTGAGGAATGCCACTCATCACTGATCTCCACTTGGACCTTGAGCCATTGACTGCAACTCACTGACTCTGCTCATCCAGCCAATTTATGATCCAGTGTGGTCCATCCATCAAATCCATTTTTCTCCAGTTTGATGAGCAGAGTGTCATGCGGGACTTTGTCAAACACTTTGCACAAGTCCAGATAAATGACACCGTTTCCTCTGCCTTCATCCACTCATGCTGTAACTCCAACATAATAGGCCACCAAGTTTGTCAGTGATGACTTTTCTTTGGTGAAGCCATGTTTACCTCATCTTAATTTTCCCTGTGACTTAGTGGGACCTTCCTGAGGATCTACTAAAAAACTGCAGGCTCAATATTGCACATTTTTTTCTCAGTTTGATCCCTTGTTAAAAGTTTAATATATTCCTTCTTTTTCAAGATGAAAATTTCGATGTTACTTACTTGGGTCTCCCTCTGAGTTGAATGGGTTCCTAGCAATGTTGAAATAGTTCAGACTTCTTAAAAAATATACAGAAGAATTCTTTTACTCCCTGTTTACACTGACTACAAAGAAAAATGTTGAAATCCTGAGTTATTTTTGATCTAGGCATTTGTCAGTAGCTTTCACGCTTCTTTTTCTTTGACCTAATAAGTTCTCTGTGTGTTGTCATGAAGCTGAGCTACTCTGGGACACTGAAAGAAGTGAAATGAAAGATCATGAGGTAATCAAAAGTTCTTGTTTAATAAATCTTTATTAAACTCCTACACTTTTCTTCTCATTATGTTGATTTCAATCTTAAGAAGAACTTCAAATATATACTCAGATAAATTGCTTGCTGTGGAAAAAGTTGGAGTTTTGAGGAATGTGGTGGTATGCCAATTCCTTCAGCATGAGAAAGAGAAAAACATTAGAGAGGTTAAGAATGCTCTGTTAAAGCAATGTAATATAGCAAGCCGGAGCCAGCTGCAGACTAGCCCAAGACTGAAATGACATAATTGCAGCATAACAGTGTAATACTCATAAGGATTTTTGAGCGCCAGTTCCTGCAAGAAAACAAGTTTACAATGAAATTAATTTGTGCCTCAAGACCTTCACTAAGAAGACTAGCACTGAAGTGGGAAAGAACCGACTCCCTGTTATCCATTTGCCTGGGTAATTTAAACCAGTAGAGTTTAAATAAATGATTATTAAAGTCAGTATTGAGCAAGGAGGCAAAGGACTCTTGCAAAAATACACATTAATTGGTATCACCTTAAAGTCAAAATATCTATGTTGATTTATAGTAACTGAGAACCTAGCCTTTGTCTTTGAAGTCCAACCTGAAGAGCTTATAGTCACATGACACTGAAGTAATATTGCTTCCTTCAAGACAGTTTGTCTGTTTAAGGGCACTGCTACATGGAGTGAATTTACTGATTGCAATTTCAAAGTTACTGACCAAAAGAAAAGTGCATTGCATTTCCTGAATTTGCAAGCTCTGCTCTAAAGATTTTGTTACCAGTGCTTCTATCTAGTGGAATTACAGAAAAACTTGTTAATTTGCTCTTGACCTTGAAGAATAATTGTCATGAAAGACATTGTCTCCTTTAAGTGGCATAAGATTTATATTGCACTACTTATTTCTAACAGAATACAAACTTTCCTAATCACACCTTGGCAGGAAGAACATGCCCTTTTTTACTGCTAGCAATCAATCCAGTTATGCTTTTAGGTGTTCAGGTGAGGCGTGCTATTTGGTTGAACAGAAGCACTTCAGGTTGTGGAAATCTCTGAATTAAAGCACATTATATTAATAACGTCAAGGGAAAATTAATATTGAGCATAATTTAAAGAATGGTGTGGTCTACACAGATTCTGATAAGTGTAATTGCTGTGACATTTCTAAAACCATCTCTATCCCAAACTTTGTACCTCCACATGGAGCAGCTGAGATAATAGTGTTCAACATATTTATGAGAGTATGTGAAAATTAATTTAGAATTCAGATCAAAATTCTGCAGAGTAACCATACATCTATCAGAAAGTCTGAAGAAACGATGGCCTACCATTTTTGCTTCAAGCACAGTTTTGCCACATAAAAATCTAGTCAGTCCAACACACTCAGACATTTCTCTCTATATTTATATTCTAAATGTCAACTGTCGAGAAGAAGCAGGCTGGGACTATATATTTATTTCATACATTTAAAACTTTATCTGTTCATCATCATCTTTCTCCTTCTGGAAGCAAGCAACTGGATAGCAGCATTTGCAGGACTCTTCTTGCACTGTATCCTTAATAGCAATACTGGGGAAGGGAAGTTGGAAGGTAAGCAGCAGGCAGGAGAGAAGATCAGAAGTGAATAATTTATCTTGTAAGTTGGCCTTGCAGCAGGCTTTAATTAAGCTAAGTAAATCTGGATTAAACATCCAACAAAGAAATCCTAGAGTACACACCAAAGTCTATTTCTTTAGGGATTCCGTCTTTTATTTCTACCCAAGAAACAGCTAATACTTATCTGTGCATTATAAGATGTTAATTATAGACAAAATTGCTATCCAGAGGAATTTATTGCTTACATAGATAACCAAAAATTGCTGAAATCTATATCTCACTCAGAAAAATCTGTATCTTCACTCAGGAAAAAGCAGATTTCAGTGATTTAACAAAAATTATACGGCAAATTGTGACTCTGATTTCAGAGCAGATTCTTCTGATTCCAGGACCTGAGAAGAGACTAACATTCTCTTCTGACAGGAGGGGCACCTAGCAGCATTTCTGTTGGATCTCTGCAATATGAATGTACTGGACTATGTCAGTACTCAAGCTCCTTTGATTATATCCTCTTATATAGACATACCTTAAAAGATAAAGCAGTGCACAGCCACTTGATCATTCCTTTCCACACACTAAAAAGTATTAAAGCAAACGTCGTGTGCAGAAATGAATTGTACAAAAGTATTGAAGTATAGAGATTTATTTAGTAATGGAGGAAACCTATGGTTGGTACTGACCTTTACCCAGGTGACGTTATTTTCAGATGGTGAGTAATTGCAGATATATACACATGCATAGAATCTTTGACTTTCTATGCAAGTTTTGTCTGTTTGGCCAACATTTATTCTTTCCCTACTGTCTATTAAAAGATATTAAAATGAAATCACTCTACGTTTTTTTTTCAAAGATTTATTTATTTTACTAGCAGTATCAGGATTTTTTTAATCTAAAGCAAATGTTAATGTATGACCTTCTGCAATGGCAAAATTACACCCAAAAGGGCCAAATGGGTTTTAAAACACCCCTGACACCTTTCACCTACCACTCATAA